AAACCCAAACATCGCAAACTACCAAAGTTCCTTGTTTAATTATAATCCAGCGGAGAGTCGGAGAGTGTTTTTTGTTTTGTGTTTCATGCCCCGGGATTGAACTGTTGAAAATGGATTGTAAAGGACAAATGGATCAGCAAAAACTGTCTCTTTGTCCTGCATTCACCCCGAGATGTTGATGTGATGCATTGGTATAGCTCTGTTCCCGAATGGGTGTGTGTGGTGTATGTGTTAATTGTTTTCATCCAGGCTGGTTCTTTCTATAGTTCTGCAGTGCTTGGGACTTGCAGCATCGCTCCCCAAACCAACGACCACCACAATGACTTGTCGGTGTGAAACACACCTGTTTATCTCAAGAAGAACGAAGACATGTCAGGACAAAAGAACTAACAACAACCGTATACTCTTCAATCTGTGCAACCGCTCGGTCCGACAGCTTCACCCACCCACCGACCCACTTTGGGTCGGAAGTTGCGCCGAGGTCCCAAACCAGCCGAGCGCGGCGCCGGGATCCCGTGTAGCCCGGAGCCCCGGAGAGCGTGGCAGAAGCACATCGAACGGAAAGTCAATAAGTCAGTACTCGTCACCAGGAGGTGGCGAGTACGCATGCCGTGGCGAGTTCCGTTCGGCATGCCGCGGCGTTGTGGAACTCGCGCTGGTTTCGATTGGTAAAGACATCAGAAGAGATCTGAAATAATGGCGGATGCCTCTCCAGCTATCATCCACGCGATGTTACTTGAGATCGCAGTCCATAGCTGGGAAGTTGGACCAGACCCTACTGCAAGAAGACTATGATGCCCATCATAGTCTTCGATGTGTTTTTTTCTATAGGGATCTCCATGTTCTTCTCACTGTCGCAGTGTGATGTGGGCAGTGGTGTGTCGGGGCTCAAAGGAATCGGTTGAGACGGCCTCCAACCCAGTGACCGGGCGCGCAGCGGTGGGACAAAAAGCGGCAGGAACGGATGGTCTCCTTGCCCACGCGCCGCGGACCTGATGGCATGAGTGGGGAAGCCTAGCGAGGTAGAAAGGGCTTGCAATCCCAAACGATCCCCTACAACATCAAAGGAGTTCACCGTGAAACCATTAACATGCTGGGTAATTTTTGCGCACAGATAATTTTTTGAGAGGAACCAGTGGAGGGTTTGAAGATAGGGCATTTGGTAGGACGAAGAGACCTGCTGAACACCCAATAGCATCTTGCGTGGGGATCAAGTCAATGCTGAGGGGGTTGGACTTATTAATGATGCTCTCTGAATTTTCAGATACCAAAAAAACATCAAAGTTCCGTCCAAGTGAGAGATTGTTTAACCTATTTTTGCACAAGGAGCTTTGGATCACATGGGGTAACGACTATGCCTCACCGCCATCTCCACAGGCTATGCCTCACCTCCATCGGCATACCGCCCGGTGGTGCAGGCGGGATCGAAGTGGAATATCCGACCTAGTGAGTTCCTCACCAGGATGGTGGTTGTGGTGGTTGTGGAGTGGAAGAATTATGGAGGTAAAGGGATGCCCCATCCAGCCTACGTCATAGCCATCATTGCGGAAGACCCCGCCATTGTAATTCTTCCAGAGGTCGCACAATAGCTATGGTTGTATATACCATGCCCTCCAGCTCAAGTGACATGTGTTCAGGTGTGGTTCCTAATTGCCTTGATGCACTTGATAAGAATATTGCTCAGACGAAGTGTGTTGCCGTTTGATGTCATACCGCACCCATGTGACATGGATCCCTAAGCCCCACAGTTGGGGTACAATGGTGTTCGAACTTTACAATGTTTACTTGGAACCAGCCTTAAGCTGACGGATCTTACAGTAAACTGTCCCCGTCGAGCAAAGAATTTGCATTTAAAAAACCGCTTATCCCTGAACAAAATGAAGCATCGACTGAAAGAACTTGCATTTCTTTACTGGCACAGCATACTCTTCAGGTGCCCATACCCGCATTTCTTGAGAAAATCCACTTATTTGGGACATGTGATGTGGTTTCTACATGTTTCTACATCAAGATCAGCACCATTACCATGAAATTCCTGAGTTTGATCTTATAGTATACATAGATATACATAGAGTGTTCTTAAAGATACTGAATATCACTGCAAGATCACTAGCTTGGAGGTTGCCTCAGCAAGAGAACTGGAAGACAGTCATTCGATGTCATTCGTGCCAAAGACAGACTCCATAGAGGTATGTGATATGTGAGATTGGACAAGAAAGGCAGCGCAGCTCAGAGGCGAGTGGAATTACATTGCAAATACCATGGTTTGAGTGCCTCGAGTGCCGGCCCAGGCAGCGATGACGGGGCCGATGATGCCGGAGAGGTGTGGAGTTGAAGACTTGTCAAGTTGTTTAAGACATCAGTAGACTATGGTAGACTTGTTCTATGGGGGCGTATCAAAAGCAGACCACAGTCTTATTGTATGGGGGTGTTATGAAATGTGCCTATTGTGCCTATAATAGTGGATTATGGTAGACTTACTATATGGAGGTGGGGCCGGGTTATGAATTGTGATTGATCAAGAGTCTATACATTAAGAGGACTCAATATCTTTGGGCTGAGACATCGATGAACAAAGGAAAACCTCTTCAACAGGCCACCGAAAGTCCTACAGATGTGTGTCCTTCGGGCTGGCCCTGTTGTTTTGCAGGGTCCGTAGTCTCATTTGCTACAATCACCCCAACCAAAAAGACGCCTTTCCGCCCTTCATTCTACCAGCTACAAGTAGATATCCTTCAAGCCATGTCCTACAATTCTTGCAGTTCATTTCAAAGCATCCCTTCCGAGACAGAGAGCAGAACTTCCAACCGCCCTTCGTCTTCCTCGTTTTCGCCACGTTCGGACGAAAGGCCGCGGGTGCTGCACGCCTCCCACGTCGCTCCGCCGGGCGCCGGCGCGTGGCGCCTGGGCGAAGATTCGGTCTACGGGTGAAGCGCCGAAGTGAGGAGAGTGAGTTGGAAAGCGGTTTTTGGGATATACTGACCTGCCATGAAGGACATTCCAAAGAGTTTGGAGGTCCTGAAATGAAAACAAGGACATTGGCAAGTGGATGAGTCACGGTTTGTTTGTTGGTTTGGTTGGTTGCGTTTGGGTATGTGTTTCATGGCAGTGAAGTAGCGGTGCTTTGTGGTGTTGTCCGGTTTGCCTTCAGATCAGACATCTCAAACGGGCTCGGGATGGTGGGCACTGCTGGGGACACCTTGATGTGAGTTGTTCAGCAGGGTGTCTACATGCCGTACACGACAGGGCGCCACATCTCTGTAAAAACACCTCAAGCGGAGACCAAGATTCCGATTCCTCAATGCTTCAGACCAAGTGTCAGAGCCATAAGTCTAGCTTCAGTAAGACATGAGCCCGGCCTATATTATGGCCACCACTGCCTGCAAGAGGTTCACAGCGCGAAAATTGCGGCAAGACGATGTTGCTCTGTGAATAAACTTGCCGTGCTTAGCGGGAGCTGTTCAAGAACATGGTGGCAAGATGTGTAAGTGTTGACAACTTAGTTTTGCTGTCGCCATGTTGGTCTTGCTGCAGCTCGCCAACACATGACGGTCACTACGTACAGGTTGATGAGTGAACACATGATGCTCCAGCAACCAACCCCTTTGGACGGGAAAAGTATATATAATGGTTTGTGGTGGGAGTGTCCCATATGAGATTCACCAATGAAAAGGACAACACTTCACAGAGTTCATCAGGTTTCCTGATGTTTCCTGCCACCAACTGGGGGATTGCCAGCTGGGGAGTCTTGTGGGTAGTTCATATTCTTTGATGTTTTCTATGGGTCTAACGGTCTAACTTTAAAGGCTAGCGGCTAGGCTATACTATACTGAGCTATACTTTGGTGATTCAGGAGGACAGGGCAACTTGAATCAAGAAATGCAACCTGGATTCAGCTTCCTTCTTCTGCAACCGGTCAATCTGCTGCGGCCTCAGGAGCAGTCCTCGGACGGCGCCTTTGTCCTCCACAGCCAGGCGAAGCTGAGCCCAGCAGCAAAGCTGGAGAGAAGCATCACAGTTCAGTGTGGGGGAACATGTGCATCGTTGGACAGGTTCTGTGGCCAACATGTGCCGAGATTCTTGATTTGACATGTTCCATTTCCAGCATTTGTTTGTTGGTCAAGACCTTTGGGTTGAGCCATGTATTTTGAAGTAGCTTTGCCTTCCCTGTCGAACCCATAAAACCATTCAAAGCAATCAATTGCACAAGTGGGGGTAGTCTCCAGCATCTTGCACCTAATCACACTATCAGTGTGAATCAGATGTTGTGTCAAGGAACGACTCTAATTGATCCTACATTGGACATATGTTTTTCTTTGAAGTGTTCTTGACATGTTTGTGCAGCTCTGGGTTGCTTGGTGTACCCATGATCTCTCTTACAGACTTTTACGTACCAGTGAGCCCAGAATGGTGGGATTCTTGAGCTGTTCACACCCATGTTCTATTCTCAAGTCACTATCCCCCAAGTCTCATGAGACTCGTTGAGGCTGTCACACCCGACTCGTCCCCTCGTCACACCCGACTCAGAACGCAGCTTGCTCCGGGTGTTCCTGGTGCTCCCAGGGTGCCCGAGGCGTCGGTCGGACGCCCGCCCGGTGCTGGTCGGACGGTGGATGCGCGTGGCACGGTGATGCGCGGAGCAGGTGACGGAGCATCGTGGTGACTTCATGTTGTTGACTGATGTTGACGGCAGTCGGTGGTATTTGGGGGGGCGTTGCACGACTGCCCAACGTGGGAAGAATTCTTCCATCAGTGGCTGGTCCAACCGAAGAGGTCGACACAAACGTACATACTGTACTGTGACACCATGAGTGCCCAAGCAAAGAGTTCCAAGACATGGCGAGCAACATTGAATAATTCAGCAAAGAGAACGATGATCCATGTGACCGGGGACTCTTCAACACAAAAAGATCATGAAAGTCATTTCGACTGCATTGCTGAAGGAGGGGTCAGCCAGGAGTGACCTCAACCTCCAAAAAAAGGAGGGCTTCAGGAAAGCCATGGATCTTGGGCCAAAGGTGATGGGCCATCAGTTTTGTGCAGCGCTCTTCCTTCTGACCTTGGCTTCCGCGGAGCTGCGTTTGCCTGGTGCGAGCAGCTGGACTGCAACAGGGGGGACAGCCTGGTTCCCATCGGATGCTTTTGCGGATCAGGTGACTTCAGTGGGCTTTGTATTGGCCGCTTCACTGGGTATGTAAATCCCTTTTCTGGGAATATGTTGCTTATTGATGCTTATTGTTCCTGCTCCCTGGACAGCAAAATCATGCAAAATCCAAGTATATATATTATATATGATGGTCAGTTCCTAGTGAAGTGGCTAAGCGTGACAAGCCTGGCTCATTAGACCGGCAGTGGTGCCGGCAGCGGATTGGGTGCGAACTGCTGTAGCTTCCGCAGAGGGATCTGGTCCTTCCGCCCAATTCGGCTCCTGAGGCAAGTCGAAGCAAGTTCGACGCCAAAGCATAGAGGTGCCAGCGCTGCGAGAGGTGGAGAGATGGTGTATATGTGGTGGGATGCCCGGAAGACAGCCAACGCAGAAAACATCGGACTTCCATCAAAGATGATCAGTATACTGTTTGCAGCACATGTGTGCAAAAATCATGTGAATTGCTTTATGTTTGAAACTGGAAAGCAAAGGTCAACTCATGTTATTTTCTCTATGTTTTTTCTATGTTGCATGTTCATCCTTCGATTACAGTACCGTCTTCAAGAGATTCTTCGACTTAGTTTCAGACGGTCGGATAAGATGTGTTGACACACTCCCTAGGCATCCAAGTACCTTCTCAGAAGATACTTGGACCCTCCAAACCTACATAACAGTGCCTCCAATCACCGTACCTGAGAAGGTACGACTGGATCCCTAGGGACTGGCATCGACTGTCTCAGTCCAGCCTGGCATCAAAAAACGAGCTTCACTTGGACTCCAAAAGCTCCGAACCTCGCCGCCAGGGCTGCCAAACGATCCGTTTTGCAGAGCTTTGCGAACTTCCAGAGTTGCCAAGGACCTGCTTTCAGCTCCAGCAGCTGGGCGAATCAATCAGCTCGCGGTCCTCAGGTGTCAGGTTGAGCAGCGTCACTCCGTCACGGTGCCAGTTCGATCGTCGAACGCGACGGGGACGTTCGAACGCCTGGGTTCGTGGAATTCTGGGTGCAAACAGATCGATTATGAGGAAGCAACAGAGGTTGAAGGATCCCCAAGAGAAAACGACTGTCCCAGAAAAAAAACGGTATGCTCCACGTGATGGGTCGGGTCCCATAACCTGTCTTGGAAGATCATCCAAGGCTTGTGACTCAAACCCTTTGGCTTTTGATCCGATTGGCTCCGAAGGCCATCGGACGCTCAACGCTGCGAGCTTCGTGGACCTCGCGCTGCGCCGGCGCGGCTGGTGACGGCGGAGAATGTGACCGGTGTGGCGACCCTGCGCACGCAGGGGGAGCTGCGCATCACTGGGTACCTGGGCAGGATCTGAGGCACCTAGGTGTCACTCTCTAAGGACTTGACTTGAGCGGGTTTGGAAGCTACACATTTTGACCATCCACAGAACATCACAGAACTGTGCGAGCACCACTACAATTGGGCTTGCTACAGATGGTCAACTCTCGTTTTGTAATGTTTTGTAGCCAGCATGTGTTCAATCAAATACCGTTGACATGCTTCTGAACCGCCGATATTCAGAACCTTCTGATTCTGAGGCACATCCAAATGATCTCGCTCCGCTTCGACGCTGAGATCCTTGCCTAAGACCTTGGCGCCGTTTGCAAAAGGCAAAACCGTTGGACTTTTGTTGGTCGAAGTGCAAAGCATGCAAACTTCATAGGCTGAACGCGGCTGAACCTGGATTTCCCACAGCTGCCTCCCAGTAGGTATGAGGAAGTTCACAGTCGGCTACAGTCGGCTGAACTTCGATGTCCTCATAGCTGCGACGCAGCTCAAGCTCGGCTCGGCTCGTAGGTATTATGGGGAACTTCACGGTTCTTTGTTTTTGCCTCCCAGGACTTTGGTCTTGGACGATGCCCAAGTGGAAGCCTGGCATGAAGATCATCACGAACTGATTGACCTGGGCGGCGCATTTTCGAGCAGAGGGCCATTCACTTTGACCAATTCCAACCTGACCGTTTCTTGGACACAATCAATTATCGAATTGGGTATCAGACCCGATACAGTGCTTCATCACCATTGACATTTCTCAACATGTGGATAGAAAAAAGGTGGCCGGAGATTGTGTAGAGTGATGTAGAGAGGCCTATCTTCCAACCTTGGACTGCAAAGAGCAGTCACTTCGCCACACGATTCGATCCGGACAGGTGTGGAGCACCTCAGCCACGGCGGGTGGCGGCCTGGCGGCCGCTGGGGACCTGACCCTGGGCGCCCAGTTCACGGGACTCGCGTGGGCGCTGGTAGCAGCGATGCATTTTGCGGGAGTTTGGTGGGGACGACGTTAGTTATGGCAACTCATTAGATGGCCAACTCTGAGAAAGTGCTCGGAAAAGGCCGACCAGGCCGGAATTGGTCAGGGGCCCTAGGGGCTTGGGATCTCTTTGGGGTGGGAATAGAATTGTGATTCTTTGCCTCGGACCGTAATGACTCGGATTTCTTCGGAGGATGGGGACAGGGATGGACAGGGTATAGATTAATGGCAAATGGGTTTGGGCACATAATATATTACATTTCATATCTTTGACATACCCTTGACTTGCAAAAGACAAAGTTGAATGTAGTATATACTATAGTTCACTCAGGGACATAATTAGGTTTTTACCTGAGGCCGATTCAAATGCACACTGTCTTGCACAAACACCATTTCGGTGGTGGTACCCACCTTGCATTCCAACTTGCTGGGCACAACGTGATAAATACTCCAGGATTGTAGCAGTTCTTTTTTTCCAATTTATATAGTTCCTTCACGTTCTCTCAAGCAGCTGCACAGTTTTATTTGTCACACTACTGTACAACTTTCAGGAAGGTTTGATGAGACCCTGTTGCCACAGACCCTGTTCATCTTAGTTTCTGGGAAACAGTATGTTGCACTATCTAATGTATTCTATATTTATCTAAAGCTATCTAAAACTATTCTAAACCTATCTAAAACGACTCTAAACTCATCTAAAGCACTCTAATACTCTAAAGCACTCTAAACTGACTCTAAACTTATCTAAATCACTCTAATCTTCTCTAAACACATATTCTTCACTAAAATCACTCGAAAATGCACTCTAGATAACTCTAGACTTTTAGAGGAAGTCATCTACAATAGTCCCCACTCGAGTGTTTTCTTATGTTTTAGAGTCCGCTCTAAATTGTTAGAGTGGCACTCTAAAAGTTTAGAGGAACAAGGACCTATCCCTGGGAGCTACCTCCTGGGAGCTGGTTGGGAGCTGGCGAAGCCGGTCGGGGCCTCTAAAATATTAGAGTGATTTAGAGATGGTTTAGAGGGATATAGATGAAGAGGGTCTGTGGGAACAGGCTCTTTGCTGGATTCTGTGAAACTTGTCACGAGTTCTTCAAGTTGTTCATGCAAACTTCACACGTAGGTGCTGTTTGTTATGCCGTTACATAACCAGTCTTGCGAGATATATGGCTGCGGCAATACAAACATCAACACCCGCCTTGGGCTCAAATCAGGTCAGACATGCGCAGACATCTATTAATTCAAACTGTGGTTTATGTTGCATCTGTATGAGGTACCAGCATGGTATCACATGCACATATGTGGCCAAAGAGTTCTAGACAATCGGGTTCACAAACACCAAGGACACCACATGAAGTAAACTTGGCTGTGTAAAGACTGGGACAAGCCTAGTAGAGCTATGTAGAGCTTATAGCTGAAAGACTATCAGGTGTCCACTAGGCATGGTTGCCTTTTTTTCCAGAAAGGCCTGTTGTGGGCGGCAGACAATTGAGACAATTGGCACATATATCATATATTGGAGCAAAATTTGACTAAATCCACAGCTTACCACTGGATTTGCTGCATGTTCTTTGTTTCCTTTTCATCTTCTATTCCTAGAGTACTGTCATGCTTTTCCTGTTTTTCTGTATTCCCATGTCCAGCTCGATTTTATTGGAATTGTGGCTCCTATGTTTCCTGAAAAAGTATGTGCTTAAAAGTGCAACCTTTTCATACCTGCGCATACCTGAGTTCATTTCATTTAGGATTTGCAAAAAAACAATAACATCTGTCATCTGTCTCAAATTTCCTCCCGCCCACAACAGGTCCCTCTCCTTTTTGTATGCTCGACCGTGGATGAACTGAGCCTGTCGACATGTTCGACTCCGTTGATAGGAAAAGACCTCATGTTGGGGCTGTTGGTGCTCCACAAATAGAGGTCTCACTCAGGTGTTCTATCGGAGCAGAGGTGAGGTGAGGTTCGATCGGGAAAACCACTCGAGAAGATCGACTCCGACCGGTCTGGCAGCTGGACTCAGGACGTTGGCCAATTCCACCCTTCGAGTGCTGCATGCTTCAGCGACACAGGGCGGCGGCTTCTACGGTAAAGCAGCAGTGAGACGTGGCACGTGTCAGCTGGGCTAGGGTTTGGGGGGTTGGTACAAGTTGGTGGTTGTACAAGCATGTAAAAGCAAAGCAGAGAAGGATTGATTTGGTTGACCCTTTTGATGAGAAAGAATGTTCGAGCGTGGTGTGTGTCTGTGTGCAGAGTGTTCATGATTTTGTCCAGTTCATCCAAGGAGGCTTCAGCAGGATTCTACACTCTTTATGGAGAACATGTCAGCCACATACGGAGCTGGTTTCTACGTGGTGGGAGATGTTGATGTTTCAGCTGCGACCTCAATCAAACGTTCAGGGTTCCAAGTAGCAACGCAGATGCTGGACATAGAAGCTCTGACACTACATGTTTCGTAGAGGCATTGATTTTGATGCCAGCCAGTTTTCACAGGATGTTGGTTTTAGACAAAACCTGGCAGAACTAAACATCATACTTTGCCAGCCATCGTATTTTCAGCATGTCTTGTAACTTGTAATTCTTCAAAGCAGAACTCGTCGATTTTCCTGCGGAATGCCACAGCTCTGAGCTCGGGTGGTGGCTTCACAGCATTCGGAGCAGTGAGCTTAGCAGCTGGCAGGGTCGAATTGAGAGATACAACAGCTGTCTCTGGAAATGCTGGAGGCTTTTGGGTCAAGGGACCCTTGTCGGCGATGGAGAGATCAGGGATTTTCATCCATAACACAGCAGGAGGAGGAAGTGGCGGAGGTGCTTATGTAAAAGACCATGTGGTGATCAACTGCTCAACCGTCAGCATTCGGCATGCCAGAGCTGGGAACAATGGTGGAGGTTTCGCAGCCTCTAAAGACGTTCTGATAACTGAGACGTCGAATCTGAGCATTTCCAACGCAGTGTCCGCAAATCAAGCTGGAGGCTTTCAAGTAGATGGACGCTTGCAGGTGTTGGAGAGATCAGCCATTTTCATCAAGAACACAACCGCCGGAGCAAGTGGAGGAGGTATCTATGCAGTTGACGGCATTGTGATCAACAGCTCCACCGTCAGCATTCAGGATGCCAGAGCTGGGTACAATGGTGGAGGTTTCATTGCGCTCAATGACGTTCTGATAGCCGAGAGGTCGAATCTGAGCATTTCCAATGCAGAGAGCGCAAGTCAAGGTGGAGGCTTCAATGTGCAGGGAAGCTTGCAAGTGATCAGCAACTCCATCATCAGCATTCAAGATGCCAGAGCTGAGGAGGCTGGTGGAGGTTTTATGTCCTTTGAAGACGTTGTGATTGCAGGGATGTCAAAAGTGAACATAGCAAACGGCCAATCGGTCTCCGGATATGGTGGAGGTTTTGAGCTTCAGAAAGGTTTGCAGGTGATTGACAGATCAGTAATTCTCATCGAGAATGCAACCTCCAAAGGACATGGAGGAGGTGTCTATGCAACAGGCAATGTCGTGATCAACAGCTCAACCGTTAGCATTCGGCATGCTAGAACTGGGAACAATGGTGGAGGTTTCGCAGCCGCTAAAGACGTTCTGATAGCTGAGACGTCGAATCTGAGTATTTCCAACGCAGTGTCCGCAAATCAAGGTGGAGGCTTTCAAGTAGACGGACGTTTGAAGGTGATTGGCCGCTCCACAGTTAGCATTCAGCATGCCTCGGCCGTGCAATTTGGTGGAGGCTTTATTGCGTTCCAAGACGTTGTGATTGCAGAGATGTCAAAAGTTGCCATTTCAAATAGCAAGGTATCCGGACATGGTGGAGGCTTTGCACCTATGAAAGGTTTGCTGGTGACGGGGAGATCCGCAATTGTCATCGAGAATGTGACATCCGGAGGACATGGAGGAGCTGTCTATGCATCTGGCATTGTGGTGATCAACAGCTCAACTGTCAGCATTCGGCATGCTAGAGCTGGGAAGTATTGTGGAGGTTTCGCAGCCTTCAAAGACGTTCTGATAGCTGAGAATTCGAATCTGAGCATTTCCAACGCAGTGTCCCGAGGTGATGCTGGAGGCTTTCAAGTTGAGGGACGCTTGCAGGTGATCCACCGCTCCACTGTCAGCATTCAGCATGCCAGAGCTGGGAACACTGGTGGAGGTTTCGTTGCAAGCCAAGACGTTGTGATTGCAGGCTTGTCCAAAGTGAATGTTTCCAACAGCCGAGCGGTCTCCGGACATGGTGGAGGCTTTGCACTTAGAAAAGGTCTGCTGGTGACGGAGAGATCCGCAATTGTCATCGCGAGTGCAACTGCTGGACAAGATGGAGGAGGTGTCTATGCACAAGGCACTGTTGTGATTGACGGCTCAAGCGTTAGCATTCAGCATGCCACTGGGTCAGCGGGTGCTGGTTTTGCATTCCATCGTGGTCTGAAAGTACACCGTGGTTGGATGATCGTCAGCGATTCCACCGCCACACGGGACGACAGTGGAGGTTTCGTGAAGGGCCAAGCACTTCTTACATCTCAGTCGCAGTTTGTGGTGCGCCATGCTGACGGGAATGAACACTCAGCAGTGTTGGCAGCAGAATGCTTGCACATCCACCCTGGGTCCGCCTTTCTCATGGAAAATGTCAAGGGGGGCCATGCAGTGAAGTTGCAGAACAGTGGCTGCAAGTGCTCAAACAGAACTCTTCAAATGGAAACTGGTGCAGCTTTGAACACAACAGGTCACTTGAGCTTGGGGCTTCTGTCCGTTGCAGCCTGCCCTAATGAAACGGTGCGCCTCTCTGGTATCCACCTCCGGTCATGGTCCAGTCCATTGCTTAGTCCTCAGCCCAACCACGTGGTGATAGACGACGTCAGCATCCACTACCAGCCACCGCTCCAGAACTTGCCCATCCTCACGGCTAAGGACTGCAGGTCCGACCGGGAACCGATGTGGATGCGTTTCAATCACATTGTAGAGCATAAGAAGACCCATGAAGACCCCTGGGTCAGGAATAAGACCCCTGGGTCAGGAATGCAGACATACCTGGAACTTCGTTACGGCAATAATAATTGCCGTTTTCATGAAACGTCGCCTTTTTCCGTTCTGCGGCGTTCTTCCTATTGATCTCATGGGGACGGCGTTTCTTGATGAACTGCGGCAGTTTCGGTCAGTTGACGGCAATTTTGGTCCACACATCCATGCGCCTCAAAGAGTCATTTCGTTTTAGTTTTAGTGCAAGCGAGTATGAAAACATTGTAGGGTCTTGCTTGAAAGGCAACTGAACGTAAAAGGCGTCTTATTATATCAGCAAACTCGCATAGTCATGTGAAGTGGAAAGGGCAGCTGATGGAAGTGTCACATGCTGGGTTTTCGTCGGTTTTTGCGGGTAACTCGACCTCTTGCACGGCGTTGCAGAAGATTTTGCGTTTAAAGTTACGGCGTTCTTACCCGTACTTGCGGCGTTTTTCCCCGTACTTACGGCGTTTTTTCCCCGTACTTACGGCGTTTTCCCCCTACTTACGGCGTCGTTCCCTTACCCTGTCTAGGGTCACTCAAGTTGGCAGCAAGACTTGTCACAACATGTCACAAGCGATCCTTTCAGCCATTGCATGATCAAAATGTGAACAATTCCTGCCATGATGTCAATCGAGACCTTAGACAAGGGCTGCAACATCTTGAGAAGTGCTACCATGAGGCTTGAAAACGATGAGCTCTACTTACAAGTGAAAAAGGAGAAGGCAAGTTCAGGGTATGGACGGACCAAAACAATATCCTCTTTGGTAGATCAAACAAAACGGCGATTCTTCTTTTGTGACGGCGTTTTCACTTCTCTGACGGCCTTTTCACTTTCCAGGGATTGAGCTACGGCAGAAAAAATGAGTTACGGCAAAAATTATTGCCTCAACAGCCTACGGCAAAAATTATTGCCTCGGGAGGGTCTAGGTATGTGAATCCACAATGATCCACAAAGGTCGTTGGGCAGTCGCGACGGCTAGGTCGCGACGGCTGGCTCTCAGGAGGGAAACCTGCCGGCTGTATTCTGACTTTGCCATTGTTCACATGTTTCAATATGTAGATGAAAACCAACTGCTGTTGTTGTTGTCGTTGTTGCTGTTGCTCCAGCAGCTGATGTTGTTGCTCCAAAGGTGCAGATTTCTAGATCCATGCAAATTCGCAATCACCACTGCCCCGAAGCGTTGGAGGCATCAGCGACTCAAGGGCATCAGTAGATTCGCACTCCTACCTAGTCACTCTTGTTTCTGGCTGGATCCTTCCTGCTGGCGACGCCTCAAGATTCAGAGCCCATGTGACCCTGCAGGATGGCTTCACCGTCAACTCTTTGGTCGCTACCTGTCCAGATTGTGCACGGGGTGTCACCTTGAATGCCAGCAACGGCACGCGGCTGGCAGCCGTGAGCCCAACGAAGCTGCAGTGCCCTAGCGAAGTCACGGTGTTACTTGGTGCTGACAAGATCTAATGTTTTGGCCGCTTCCTGTGGTGTTGGTGTCCTTTCTTGCGAGTCGTCACTCATGCCAGTCGTGTTTCAGGTTGGACGTCGCACAGTCGCACATGAATGAGTCAAACCGAAATGAATCAGTTGGGAGGAGTTTCTCAGAACCCCTTTGCAAGCCTTCTAACGATGGGCTCAAGAAATGTCGTACATGTTTCACATCTCAAAACGGTTGCAATGCCAGGGACGCTGACTGTGGTCCAGTACCGATCTTTGTAGCCGAGGTCCAAGGGCTTCACGTCGCGTTGTGCTTGTCCCAACTAC